GAGCGGTCGGGACGGACGGGACGTACAGTGGTTGGACGGCCGACAACTCTTTCCTCATGCCCCCCCCCCCTTTCCCTCCACGCTCCTCTCCCAACCCCCCGGGGCCACCTTTCGAAACCCTTTTCCCAAGCATCCCATCCTGTCGCAAAAGTACACCACCAAATTCTTGAGCTGGTGCTAACCCCGAGCTTACACCCTTACACCAATATGCACCTCTCAACAGGCACATCCTTCCAAACAATGCCCCCCCCTCCCTTCTGCTTTTCTCTCGAGTGACTCACACACCGTGGCTGTGCGGTGCGGTGCCCTGGTGGGCGCCCCGGGCCGAGGTTAGAGGGGTTAGAGGCCGTGCTGTGCGCCGAGGCATCACTCACAGGCCTCGGCCCGGGCTTCGATCCCCCGCTCCCGCCCCGTTGACCCTCCAACTGACCCACATCCCGGGCTGCAGATCTCCTTCTCCTCCTGCCCCTCACGACCCGAGCGACTCCTCCGGGCTACAGCTGTTGACATTGGAACAAAACGCTGCCTGCTCGATCCGACCCGATAATCGCGCTGAACATGCAAGCACACTCCGCCAAAGGCCCCGCCGCGCAACGCCACGCCACCGCGACGGTCCGGGCGGAACCTTGGCCTCCACGGCCGGGGCCTTCCCTTGCTCACATGGTAATTAATTCAGCGAGGGGGAAAAAAACTTGCTCATGCAGCGCGTTACGAACTCAACTCACTTTCTTTTGATTAGTTTCTGACCCGACTGAATTAGGCGAACTCATTGGTGAGTCACGGTCGTTATCAGGGTGGAGCTGTAATCGCTGCATCTCGTATACGAGCAGTGCCAAGCGTAGGGGCCGGAGGAGGGACACACACAACCGACGCACCTGCACACACAGACACACGCACACGCACACACACACACACACGAAGGGCTTTTGATTAGGCGCGCGAGGCTGCCTGGCCCAGAGGAGGTGTGGAGGTAGAGGACGAGGTGGGAGAGAGGAGAGGGACCCGGGGAGCCAAAGAGAGAAAAAAATAACAAGCAACTCATCTCAGACTAAAACCCTGTGGGGTTCACCGCATACCAGGACGGCCTGGAATGGTGCGGCGGGGGAGGGGGCGCAGAGGAGAGGAGGGCGCACTCCCTTTTCCTATTTCTGTATTCCGCGTGCGTGCGTCACTACACCGACGCACTCGCCCTCCTGCTCGCTCAAACTTTTCCAGGACATATTATTGATACACCCGGTCTTCTCTCCTGCTGGACCGCCAAGAGTCGCCTCTCCTCCACGTGGCGTCGCGAGGTGAGGCGGGGCGGGGTGGGGTGAGGTGG